AACTTTTAATATACAGTTTTTCATTTGATTTAATTTTGAACGCGAAATTATTGTACGAAGGCGAAGAGCCATGTTGAAAGCTACTAGTGATACTAGTATTGGCATCAAATATATTATGTATAAACGCCTACTATTGTGGGGGTTAGCTCATGGTAGGCTAGTTACTCGTACTAGTAGGTGGTACAAGTAACTATACCAATATAAACGCCGCTTAATGCACGGGCTATGTGAATCACGGTGTATTTGTTTCAGTCAAATCAAACAAAATTACAAATTAAAGTTGATAAGTAACATGAAAAGCGCATTTATATGAAACATCAAGTGAGTATGAATTTAACAACACTGAAGAACAAATTAGAGCCAAGATTATAAAACAATATGACTTGGATAACACTCAATTTATAGTGGACCACTGGACCACCCTATACCTAATCACAAGTTGAGGCATCATAATCCCGCATTTGAAAGTTACGTTTTTCTCAATAAATGTAAAGAAAATGCTCACATAAACATAAACAACATGTCAATACACAGTTTCAGATTTTCACAAACAAATCTTGAGAATAAGTGTCCTGGGGTGCGTTCAAAGACGGCAATGCTAATGCCAAAACTTACTTTTCCCCCTCCACCGGCAATGCCGAAACACGTAGGTTGGAGCCGAACTCGAACGCAAAATGCCAATTTTGGCTTGGTTGTAGCCGTTCCTGAACGCAGCCCAGATGTCTCCAGATAATTAACTCGGCTCTTGGACTATTAGGCCTACTATAATTAGCTATTTATTGACCAAATTCTCATAAATCCTTTAACACATTGCATGCCACGTGTATATTGGTAAAATAAACCACAGGGCTACGCGTGTTTTTCTCTTAATTTTTATTAAAGAGTAGCTGGTATTATGGTGGACGGCCTCCCCAGGGGACACCAATTACCAAAAAGAAATAATCAAATCTTAATTTGTTGCCCTGGATAATCAGTGAAACGCAACTTGAATTATTATTGAAAACATCTACAGCCAAATGTTTAAAGTCTAATATCAAACATTATGCTTAACTAGAAGTAGCTTGAGATAAATAAATCTTTCCACCAAAGGGCCCCATTCACGTTGAGATCGGTATCGATACATGTTTCGCAACATGTATCTGAGATTTGTATCCATGTTTCAACTGCTCCTACACGTTGAGATTAGCTCAGAAAACATTAGTTCAGTCATAAGTTCAGTTCAATCAACATAGGTATTATTTATATACTTAAATTCAAAACTCATGTTGGAAATAACACTGTTAATATTTTAGTAGCGCGATACATATTAAACTTCAACATACACGTTGAAACAACTATTAGTTGCATGCGTTCGGTATTGAAGTTACCGACGCTGGCGATACCATCCAATACCGTTAGGTACTGAGACAGACAAATACACAATGAGATTTGTATCAAGATACTGATACTTGATACCGATCTCAACGTGAATGGGACCCTTTACTTGCTGAAATGCACAAAACACCAATTTCAGATTGTTACGAAAATGTGATGAGAAACCTTTTGAGAATGATCATTATTCGAGTGGCCAAAACTACTTAGTGCAAAACAATTATTTTTTTTATATGTAGGTATACTTATTATGCATCAGATATGTATTATGCAAATAAAACCCCATAACTGTAAATAAAGGCTTTAGGCCCATTTCGATAGTGTAGATATTGTAAATAACCCCATTGTAACTATATCCAAGATTATTTTTTTCTGTAAGTAATAAAAATTCCTTCCACCATAAATGATAATTGGTCATCCAAAAAGCCAACTACATGAACATTTTCCTTATGTAATAAAATAGCAATTTCTTAATAAATCAATAAATAAATGGGATCTTCTTCATAGTATTTTTTGTCTAAGTGTCAAATTGTCACCCTGTATGTCCGACATGGCCTAAATAGAAACATCACTGTCGGGCAGTTTTGCCCAATGTACGTTTTAAGGACTGGTTTTCCAAAAGTGCACCCAACACCTCCATGAGTATCTCAAAAAAATTGAAAACTTTCAAATTCCTTCTTAAAAAATATAGCTATATGACTTTATAGCTGTATACTATATTTATTATTATAGCAATCAGCTATAGAGTATTATTGTGTAGATATTTGTATCATTTTAGTTGAAAATTTTTAGTGGACTATACCAATTAGCAATTACCCCAAGGTGTTAATATGGGTTAGTTGTGTTGGGTTAGTTAGGTTATTGCTAGTGGTAGTAAAGTGGCTTAAACAGCCATTCAATTGAAAATTAGGCAAAATCAATATTTTTTTGAGACACTCTAGCATTCTATTATTTCTATTACAACAATACCTACATCTACCATACAGCATTCTATTCCAACAGTATCTGCATATCCAGAACCCAGCATTCTATCTCATAACAGTCTACATCTCTGGATCATTCATCCTTCACACAAGCTCATATATACTTTCTTCATTAACGCACTTTTGGAAAGCCAAATCAAAAAAAAATTAACGATGAAAATATAGGCGCAAAAGATTTTCTGGAAAATTAATTTTTGGACACCTTATATAATTTACTCCCAGTTATAGAGAATCGAATTTAAATTAAAAAAAAAAACATAAATAAAAAAGTTCTGGACTGTTCCAGACTCAGACATTAGAAAAATCAAGGATTGTTTATTCAAAATTCAATAAATCCCAATTATCAAAAAATAATTGTTGGTACTAGGTACTTACCAAAATCCAGAAATCAATTGGTACACTATGGGCACACAACACTAATAATCGGAGAATCTTAACTTATGTGAAAAAAAATCGCGACTGACCGTGCTCCATCTCCGACGAAACCTACTCGACTAAATCGTAATTAAATCTAAATTCCTTGTCCAACAAAAACCCCCAAAAAAAAGGCAAACATATTAAGTAATAATATGAGTGAGATGGCAAAAAAACTAACTGCGTAATAATAGATTAGTATTCCGACGGCAAGTGTAAATGTAAATCCCCTTTTTCTAGTTAGTTACAGGGCCGAATTAGTGTTAATTTTTTTTTTAAAGTTTATTTTAGCTTTGTTGCAACGAAGCAGAAAAAACTGTACAATGAACCGTCAAGATTTTGCGCAATACCAAAAAATTCGTATACAGAATGGCTCCGAAATCGGATTTTGGGACAGTTTTTGGAACAGACCTTGATTTTTGTGCATTCCAGGCTGAGGTTTTTAAATTGTTCAAAATGTGGCTGGAAAGTGTTTTGAATGGCTTATTGAAGTTTCAAAGTGGTCTTACTTCTTCGCTTGAAGAGTTCTGGAGCATTCTAGAAGTTTTTCGATGATTTCTAAATTATTCTGACTGCTTTTTAAGTATTTTAGAGCCCTATTGAAGCTCCAATGAGTGTTTCAAGTTGGTTCAAAAAAGTTTTCCGTTCTAAATTGAATCCTATAATATTGTTCTAGAATAACTGAAGTTTCGCAATTGCAAATCGTGACACGCTCATGAATAATTGTTTATATCTTCGATTATTCTTGAGCAAATTAGTAATAACTATATGTCATTGGAAAGAGTATTAAATTCTCTATAGCGGCTAAGTAATTTGTTTAACAAAAAGTACATTTGACTGACAGGGTGTTTTAACGACTGTTTCGTAAAAATTTGGACGAGGCACCCAAAAATTTAAACCTCCCGCTTTTCCATTTCAAAAACTTGGCAACCCTACATTTGAGCCCAATCGCTGTGATTTATGTTTTGTTCAATCTATTTGTGTTATCGTTTTAGTTTTAGTAGCCCCCTTACCCCTTACATGTAATTTTCTATAGGTGTTTGTAAGGTGTATTCTGAAATAGACAACATTTGGAGTGAAAAATCAAAGTAGTAAGGAGAAAAAACTACTCTAGTACGCCAAAATTCTTGCTCTGGATCTGAGGAATTCAAGACTTGGCTTCCTCTGAATTGGAGGCTCAAAAAAATATGTTCAAATCATAGAATCTGATTGAAATGCTTAAAAACTCCATATTTGTCATCTGAGCTGTATTTCAGCTCTAAATTTGACATAATCAAAATAGCTGTAAATAAGATTAGTCTATAGAATCTTCAAAATTTTTCTCCAAGATTTCATTTCTAGAATTTTCAAAATCTTGTTCATTTAAAATACACATTATGACTTTGCTTTGAATCGAAGATATCTGGAAATACATATAAGCTAATCACATAATCTGAAAATAAATTCATAGAAAACTAAAGTTAGGATTATTAGCAATAAATAAATAGAGAATTTTACAAGGTAAAGACAATAAGCTAAATTATTCAAAGTAATTTTCCTGGGGGGTTAACCACTAATGGAAATCATTGTACATTTTTTTGGGAATCGCATAATAAGTTATCAATCAGGAATACATGGAAATCACTTGGGAGTCCTTGGGAATAACCTAGGAATCGTTAGGAATCTCCTAGGACTCCATGGGAGAAAAACATAGGAATCCATTGGCAATCGCTGAGAATCATGTGGTAATCGCTGGGAATATCATCTCATTCTAACCCAGAAATCGCAGATCATACATTTTAAACAATACGGAGCACCGGTCAGCTATGTATTTGCGTTTAAGACAAAGTTTTAGGCAACTTGAGTGCTAGACAATCACAATTTGGAAAGTTGTTTTTACTCTTCTTCTTGATAACAATTCACAGGTGTTCCTCCTTCCTTTACTTGAGTCAGGGGTTAGGGAGAGACAAATAATTGGCTGACAAAAAAAGTGTCTAGTTCTAGTCACAGTGTCTAGCTCTAGTCACAGTATCTAAATTCTAAATAAACGTTTACATACAATGGCGACAATATATAGGATTTAAATGGACATCTATCATAATAAATTGTAACGACGTATTTGATGACTATAATTAGGTACATCAAATACGTAAACCTGTTTGAGGAATTTTGCAGTACACAGATAGCATAGTGCAGCAATCGCTGTACCAAGCAATAAAAACCAACTAACACACCTCTTTTATTTGCTTACAGTTGAATCCTATGAGCCCAAACGATGCTGCAGGTCACGCCCTCAAACTGTTTTCTGAAGATGCTAAACTATGCGAGAGTCATCCCAGCAAAATTGCCAGAATCAATTTATCAAGTAGTTGCCACGAAAAATCTGAGCAAAAAAGTTGTGCAGATTGCAATAATGTTACCCCATCCAATGATAATGTCGTTTCTCAGAGCAGTAAAGATTCAGGCAAAAGTAATCCAAGATATAATAGTGGTAAGTATCTTACACAGATAGGTGGATTTATGTTAAGAACTTGGCAACTGGTGATTCCTATAAGCTTATTTTATTATAAAAAAATCACACATAGCATTGTTCTTAAACTTAAGTGGATTCAGGTTTTAAGTAATGATTATATCAAGAGGTCAGCGTCGCACATTGGTTCCCTAGAATGGCACATTAGGGTTTCTAGAAGATGTTACAAAATCTCATAATCCAAATATATACTTGACATTCTGGGACTACAGCTAACTCAAATTAGGGTTAGTTTGGGTTCAATCTGAAGAACTTCTTTTTATCTTTTCAATTTCAAAACCAGACTAGACTAAATTGAAATTCCGAAAACTTCAATTAGTCATAGTTTAAAAGTAGATCCGGAAACAAAAATTTCACAGTATGAGTAAGATGTTGACGGAAGAGGCGACAAAGGAGCCGAGTCCGGAATTTTTAAACAAATACTTTCCTGGGCGAATATCGTACAATATTTTATTTCATACTGTTCCATTGAAAGTTATGTTTATAAAAGTACAAAGAACCTGTTTACTGTTGAAAACATTATCACTACTGATGGAAAATTTAAATTTTACAGTACTGAGAAAGTTAATTTTCCAGCTTGAAACTAAGTACGTGAAAGTAGAAGAGTTTATTCACATTACATTACATACACAAAATGTATAAATTAAAAATATAAAAAATATTGCCAAAAATCAACTTTAGTTCAATAGATAAACAATAATACAGACTGTGTATTATCCTTGATAAATTCAAAAGCAGACGATAAAAGCAAATTGATTTCACTTTCAACCTAAAGTATCTTCCTGGCAAATGAATAATTAAAAAAGTAGAAATAAAAAATTTCATAAACGTTTCAAGGCTCGTTTTTTGTCCTTTAGTATTTGTCTCTTTTCTGCTGCAAGTTTAATTTTGTCTCTATCATGTTTTTTGGCAAGGAGTCCATCATTCCCGATTTCTTCACTTTTGCACAACTGTGCATGAATTTCAGTCATCATCTTGGCTCTTTGGAAATAATCATCATACTTTTCTAAGAGCAATTTACCAGCTTCTTCGTTTAACGCTGATTCTGGATTAGGTACTATTAAAAGACACTTGATCGTAAGTAATACATGTTTAATTCCCAGGTCAGATTTCCAATCCTTCTTCAGGGTACTGACACAAATTTCCCCATTTGGTGACACATTCGGGTGGAATATTTTAGTTAAAAAATATGCTTTAGGTGGTTCAGTGGGGAAGCCTTTGCCCAATGTCAATTTAACCTTAAAAGTACCGCAATTGTATGGGGTACCTAGTGGGCCCTCAATATATGCTTGAATATCCGTGATATTGTGGTCAATACTCTGAATTTTGATTCCTTCCGGAGGGTTGCTGATTAGATCCTTGATTTCCTTTGCAACCTCACGAATCGTCTGAGGGCAAAGGTTTTCTATAAGGCTTGACGTACTTCTGGAACTTGTCATTGCAGCAAATATTCACAGTTTTGTAAATGGGAATTGAATTAAAAAATTTGATTTGGATAGTGTAGAGGAAAATAGCTTTAAAAGCCTGCCTGTAAAAGTTGTGTCAAGTTTGACAGACAAATTTTTGAGTGATACGGGGCAAAAGTGTTCTGGAAATTGCTTAAAAAATCTCCCACGCATGCCTCCTAATATCTTTTAAAATTCACGGAACATCACACCCCAATGTCATACCCAGTTCTTCTTTTGAAAAATGAAATGACATTTTGCTTTTTGCAAAGACCAAAGACCCTATAAAACTTTTGATCATTCTAATAATGTTTACAGTTAGCTATGCTATGGAGATTATATAAGTTGAAACCTGGTTGAAATCACCAAAAAATAACACAGGGTTTTATCCGAGGGGTCCTTAAAATATGTACACAGATTTTAAATCTTCATTAATTTTGTAAGATTTTGAGGATTTTGAAAATCTTCAAATGATTTTACAGGATTTTAAAAGATTTTGGAGCATTTTAGGGAAGTTAGAAGGGTTTTTAGAGATCCTAAAGGATTTCTAGAGATTTTAACGGATTTTTGGGGATCCCAAAGGATTTTTAAATTTTTTTATTAGGATTTTTATAGGATTTTGCCGGATTTTTTTTTTCTAATAAAGTTTTGTTAAATTTTTAAAGATTTTAAAATTTTTCAGGGATTTTAAGTAGATCTTACGAGTTTTTCTGGGATTTTGACCAACTTGTATAAAAATTTTCATCAATTAACCGCTCGAAGTTTAGTTAACTCCATAAAATGTGTACATAATTAGATCTTTATTGATTTTGTAGGATTTTGAGAATTTTGAAAATCTTCACGTGATTTTACAGGATTTTAAAAGATTTTAGATTTATGAGGTGATAGAAAACTGTCATTTTAAGGAATACTTATTGTTGAAGTTCCCCTCAAATAGTTGGTGGAAACGGCCATTAAAGATCCCAAAGGATTTTTAGAAATTTTAACCGATTTTTGGGGATTCCAGAAGATTTTTGGAAATTTTGGAGGAATTTTTTTTTAAGAACACATATTAATGATTTTATATCCTACTGAACTATTAAAACCATATAATACCTTGGTTACGATAATCATAAACAGGGTCTTAACTCCCAAGGGAGTTAAGGATTTTCATAACTCCCAAGGGAGTTAAGGAAGGGAGTTAAGGATATCATAACTCCCAAGGGAGTTAAGGATTTCCATAACTCCCGCTTTTACCTTGAATAGGTAACACTTTGACATAAAATAGAAATTTTGATTTATGGCTTATTCCTTTATAAAAATAGACATAATACAGTAAATTCAGTAGGATATAAAAATTATCTATGTACCACGGGAATTATCAGGAGTTAATACCCACGGGCAATTGGTGTCCCTCGGGCCGGAGGCCCTCGGGACACAAACGTTGCCCTGGGGTATTAACACCTGCATAATTCCCTTGATACATAAATAACTATTATAAGATTTTGACGGATTTTTTTTGTTCTAATAAAATTTTGTGTGATTTTGTGAAATTTTATGCGATTTCAAGTGATTTTTAAGGGATTTTGTGAGGTTTTGTTAAATTTTTAAAGATTTTCAGGGATTTTAAATATATCTCACAAGTTTTTCTGGACTTGTACACAGATTTCGACCAATTAACCGCTCCGAGGTTTAGTTAACTCTATAGAATAATAAACACATATTTTAAATCTTAATTGATTTTGTAGGATTTTGGGAATTTGGAAAATCTTTACACGAGTTTAGAAGATTTTAGATTTTCAAAATTTTAGGTGGTTTTGGAGCATTTAAGTAGGGGTTTTTGAAAAGTTTTTAGAGATTCTAAATTCAAATGCCAAATTTGAATGGAAAAACAGAAATTCCTAGACATTTTACTATGGGATTTCATAATACTTTTCCGAATTTCATCATATGATTCTATGGAATTTCACCATAAAATTCAATGGAATTCTTGGACAAAAAACTCCTCGGAATTACACTACTTATGAGATTTCATGAAATTTTTCGGAATTCCACTAAAATTTCATGGGAATTCTGCGAAAATTTTTGTTAATTCCATAGAAATTCCTTAGAATTTCACTAGAAGATTTTATGGAATTCCTCGAAATTCTATTCAAATAACAAATTTGAATAGAGAAACAGAAAGTCCTAGATATTTTACCATAGGATTTCATAATACTTTTCCGAATTTCACCATAAGATTCCATAGAATTGCACCATAAAATTCAATGGGATTCTTGTACAAAAATTCCTCGAAATTACAGTAAAAGATTACATAAAATTTCTCGGAATTCCACTGAAATTTTATATAATTCGACAGAAATTCCTCAGAATTTCACTAAAATTTAATTCAATTTTTCGGAATTCCGCCGAAATTTCTGGTGGTACCATGGAAATTCCACGGAAATTCTGTTTAATTCCAAGGGAATTCTTCGGAATCCATGTAATTTCACTGAAATTCCACAATAAGATTTCAAGCAATTCCATGTATGTAATTCGACGAGAATTAGTTGGAATTTTACTCGACATTTCATCGAAATTTTATGTAAGTCGATACAAAATGAAATTATATATAATTTGATGGAAATTCTGCGAATATTTCATAATTTTTTTATTTTTCGAAATCCCACTGAAATTCTCCAAAATTCTATAGAAATTCCAAATTCCATAATTTTTTTTAAAACTTTACTGAAATTTCCCAAAACTTCACCACTGAAATATCTTAGAATTTCACAAAATTTTCATAAAATTTTTCAGAATTTCACTGACATTTTCTGTAATTTCTTAGAAATTCCTCGGAATTTCACTAAAATTTTATGAGAATTTTTTTAAATTTCACTAAAATTCCACGTTTATTAGTCGAAAATTTCTCGAAATTCCAATGAATTTCACCGAAATTCCAAGTTTTTAGCCGGAAATTCCACTTGTGAAATTTTCTGTTATTTTACTAAAATTCAGTAATTCGATGGGAATTTTTCCTCGAAATAAAAATAAAAACTTCACGTAATTACATTAGGATTTTTCAGAATTTCACTGGAATCCCATATGAAACAACAAGAGTTGTTCAAAATTTCACTTAAATTTCATGTAATTCCCTGACAATTCCTTGGAATTCCATGCAATTGCATCGGAGCTTCATATAATTCGACGAAAATTCCTCGGAATTCATGTAATTTTTTGGAACTTTTCTAAAATTCCTTATGTTATTCAACGAGTACTTAAATTTCATGTCGGAAATTTCTCCATGCAACTCATTCAGGATTTCATGTAATTTGATCGAAATTCCACTGAAAATTCATGTAATTTCTCAAAATTTCATGTAATTCGAAAGGAACTAAAATTTAATGTAAATTCTATGGAAACGCCGCAAAAATTTCACATGTCACATTTCACACCATAAAATTTAATGGGATTCTTGGAAATTTTTTTTCTTCAGAATTAAAATATAAGATTTCATGAAATTCTTCGAAATTCCACTAAAATTTCAAGTTATTCCATGGGAATTTCACGAAAATTTTAGTCAATTCCATAGAAATATCTTAGAATTTCACAAAATTTTCATAAAATTTTTCAGAATTTCACTGACATTTTCTGTAATTTCTTAGAAATTCCTCGGAATTTCACTAAAATTTTATGAGAATTTTTTTAAATTTCACTAAAATTCCACGTTATTAGTCGAAAATTTCTCGAAATTCCAATGAATTTCACCGAAATTCCAAGTTTTTAGCCGGAAATTCCACTTGTGAAATTTTCTGTTATTTTACTAAAATTCAGTAATTCGATGGGAATTTTTCCTCGAAATAAAAATAAAACTTCACGTAATTACATTAGGATTTTTCAGAATTTCACTGGAATCCCATATGAAACAACAAGAGTTGTTCAAAATTTCACTTAAATTTCATGTAATTCCCTGACAATTCCTTGGAATTCCATGCAATTGCATCGGAGCTTCATATAATTCGACGAAAATTCCTCGGAATTCATGTAATTTTTTGGAACTTTTCTAAAATTCTTTATATAATTCAACGAGTACTTAAATTTCATGTCGGAAATTTCTCCATGCAACTCATTCAGGATTTCATGTAATTTGATCGAAATTCCACTGAAAATTCATGTAATTTCTCAAAATTTCATGTAATTCGAAAGGAACTAAAATTTAATGTAAATTCTATGGAAACGCCGCAAAAATTTCACATGTCACATTTCACACCATAAAATTCAATGGGATTCTTGGAATTTTTTTTTTTTTCGGAATTAAAATATAAGATTTCATGAAATTCTTCGAAATTCCACTAAAATTTCAAGTTATTCCATGGGAATTTCACGAAAATTTTAGTCAATTCCATAGAAATTCCTTAGAATTTCACCAGAAGATTTTATGGAATTCCTGGAAATTCCATTCAAATGGTAAATTTGAATGGAAAAACGGAAATTCCTAGAAATATTACTATAAGATTTCATAATATTTTTCCAAATTTCACCATAATATTTCATGGAATTCCACAATAAAACTCTCGATAAAACTCAATGGAATTCATGAACAAAAATTCCTCGGAATTGCACTATGAAATTTCATCAAACTCTTCGGAATTCCACTAAAATTTCAAGCTATTCCATAGAAATTCCGCGAAAATTTTAAATAATCCATAGAAATTCCTTAACATTTCACCAGAAGATTTTATGGAATTCTTAGACATTTTTTTTGGAAATACAGTACCTATACTGATTTCATGAAATTCCTCGGAATTCCACTAAAATTTCAATTTCAAAATTCCATATATTTTTTTTTTTTTAACTTTACTAAATTCCTCAAAATTTCATCACTGAAATATCCTGGAATTCCACAACATTTTCATAAAATTCTTCGGAATTTCCTCGACATTTCATGTAATTTCCTAAAACTTCCATGGAATTCACTAAAATTTTATGAGAATATTTTGAAATTCCACGTTCATAGCCGAAAATTTCTCGAAAGTCCAATGAAACTTCAAGGAATTTTTCAAAATCATTTATTTTCTCGAGAATTTTTCGGAATTTCACCGAAATTCACTTTTAATAGCCAGGAATTTCTGGGAATATTAATAAACTTCAAGTAATTTCTTGAAAATTCACCGAAATATATTGAAAGTTCATGTTTTTACCTGGGAATTTTTCGGAATATCACCGAAATTCCATGTTTTTAGCTGGCAACTCCTCGGCATTCCACTTTCTGGAATTTTACTAAAAATCAGTATGAACTGAAATTTCATGTTGGAAATTTTGGTGTAATTTCATATAATTGTTTAGAATTCCTCCATGCAATTCATTTAGGATGTCGCGTAATTCGATTGACTGAAATTTCATGTAATTCGAGAGGAACTAAAATTTAATGTGAATTCTATGGAAATTCCGCAAAAATTTCACATGTAATTCCTTTTTCAGAATAACATAATTCTACTGAAATTCCTCGAAATTCCACTAAATTATGGAATTCTGAGAGGCTTTAATAGATTTTTGGGGATTCCAAAGGATTTTCGGGAATTTCAAAGGAAAGATTTTTTAGGAATGTTGATGATTTTATGAGATTTTGCAGAATTTTTTTTGTTTTAATGAAATTTTATTAGATTTTCTAGGATTTTATGCAATTTCAAGAGATTTTGTGGGATTTTGTTAAATTTTTAAGGATTTCAAAGGTTTTTAGGGATTTTGAGTAGATCTTATGAGATTTTCTGGGATTTTGACCAATTTGTACACGGATTTTGACCAGTTAACCACCCCTCGGTTTTATCCTTATCGCACTTTCGGGACTTAGGCAAGACTTCCATGATTTTCCCATAAATTGGAATCTGGCTTTCAGGATCTCGATCACCCTTTTTCAGACACGCAACCTAAATGCTAATCAAGATGGAGTGGTTATAAAAGTTAGACTTTTGAGTTTCTCAAGACAATACTGATATCATAAACCTCTCCAGACTGTTTATCTTGAATTTTATTTATAATGTTTTAACATTGTTGAAGCTTAAGAAAAAAAAAATCTCTCCGAGTTTGAGCCAAAAAATCTTATATTATTTTAAAATTTCAAATACATATTCATACAACTTGTTACTACTAGAAGTACAATAAAAATAACTTTTTTAATTAAAACTTGAATTGATGATTGCTAAAATACTTATATTGATAATTTTACCGTGCCAATGAACTCGTAAAAATAAATTGTGTCAAGGTTCTGCATTCCACTTTATGAGAAGCAGGATCAATAATGTGTTTTTATTTAGAAAACTATCTAAAAATATGTTCATACAGTTATCATGCCATTCAAACATTGAGAATTGTTAATGAATTTATAAAAGAAAAATATATACATTCAAGCAACTAATGGCATCGCTGTATTGGTTTCAAAATCAACAAAGATTTGGCCTGCTGCCATACCTTGAAAATGCACCAAATATACCTTTTATAAGTTTACTTCGGTTGTAGACAATGACTTTTGTTATTTTATATTTTTGTGATAGCTAAGATGTTTCAAACAAGAAGAAAAAGATATTTTGGTGGTAAATGTATAGTCTTATAAATATTTAGTACTATTTGTTTTCACTAATAATAATTTACGTCTGAACAATAAAAATAACCTAATTTGCTTTGGGTGCTATGTTTTTCTTTTGCGCGACTATAAAAGTGATTGCCAGAACCCAGAACATACAATTTTATAGTTCATCTAGAATGTCAGAGCTTTTGTTTTTTAGCACCTGTTCCCACATTTCTAACAGAACAATCCCTTTACGATATTATTGATGAATGCGAAACAAACGATTGTTACTCTCCGCTCATAAGGACACTAGGAGAAATATTTAGCAGCATCGAAAATTTGGCAAAGAGTTTTGCTCAAGAACCATTTACTCCTCCTTCCACGTCGCCAAATGTAGAGAATCCAGGTAAGAAGCTTAAATCCATAACAATCGGATTTTTATCTTGTACTTCTTAGATAAAATTTTGAACAAAGAAGAACTGAGACATTTAGAAGGGGAAAAAGATAAAGATGAAGATTCAAGTGCAGCAGAGTCTAGTAGTTCAGCAATACAACCAGTTGATCTGTCATCAGTTAGAAGAGCATACACAGCACTTTTTAAACTAAAAACCTCGATTTTTGAAAACTCCTTGGTCAACGCCTTGGTCACTCTGGCTGGAAATTTGCAAATGGAATTGCCAATAAGAGGAGAGAAAGGCAATTATGACGATATTATTAATGTACTGCTAATAGTCTTCGAAATACCAGCCCTAGGTAGAAATGCTTCATTAATTTGATCTTGAAAATTACTATTTTGAGTTATTTCCAGGCTCAGGAGATTTTCTTGAAACTGCCCTCCCAGCAATATGTAGAGCATCTCAATGGTTGCCAATCGAGGGCCAAGCCTCCCTAGCTAGAATGTGGGCAGGCCCTGGAAGGACAGCCATCCGTAATATATTGGAAAATTTGCAGCAGTTAGTTACGTTGAGGGTAATTGTAACGCCGTTTCATCACGATTTCTTTATTCAGGATGAAAACGTCATTACTTCCGCAACCAAATTAATGAAAGTAAGTAATAAACATTTCTATCTATACCATGTACGAACTTGAGTTTTGCAATAGACGTTGTATTCGAGGGTGTATTGACTGTATATTCAAAAATGTCTTGTCTTTGTGGGTATACAATTTGGAAAGAGTGTGGCTTAGCCGCTGTTAAAGGCACGGACATGGAATTCTATGTACAGCTTTTGCATATCCTGCTCCATTTTGAATTCAACTTTGTTATTATCGGTTTCAAGGATTGTAATAATAATATTATTCTTTATTTCAGGTAATTTCAGAATATGCAATGTATAAAACCAAATCTCAAATGAAATAGTGTCGAAAGAAAGTGTATACAATTCAAAAGGTTGCCCTATGTTTGCCATCTTGCATCAAAATATTCGTTAAGGTTATGTGGTTCTAAATCAATTAATAATGTTTCTATTGTTTTCTTAAAGACGTTGGATTTTTCTAAGTTTTTTATGTTGTTTGACAAATTATTGAATATTCTGATATATATACATATATAGGAAGGGTTTCTTTCTGTACGAGCAAGTCTATGGATTGGAAAATTCATAGTATGTGTCATATCTTGAGTTAAAATTATGTATAGTGAATTTGTCCTTGTTTTTGTGAAGAAACAAACGAACAAATATATTCCATACACCATGAGTACATTTTTCTGTTTAAATTTTGATCTACAAGACTCTCTAAAGCTTAGGTTACACAACATTCTCTTTCGTGACAAAAATACTTTTTCCAAATTTCAGGTACAGGTAAAATTTATCACCTTTCAATGCTATTTGATAGGGAAAGGGGATAAATTTACCTGCACCTGTAGACATCGGATTGTGAACAGGATATAAATATTGATTCGTAGTTTGCTAGATATAAAGTTCTCAAAGTTTTCTGGTTCATCTATCTAGACGACACTCTGATGGCAAAAAGGTTTTATTCAGTTTTTTCCTAAGGTGTTCAGTGTGTTCATTAAAGTTCAAAAATTTGGTCGATATATATTCCTAGGAATTTTGTGAACTCTGATATTTCAAAGTTATGTGATTGGAAGGTCATCTTATCAAACTTGTCCTTTGTGGATCTGTTTGTGTTGAGAATTACTAACTTTGTCTTTTGCTCATTTAAAATCAATTTATTTGGATCAATCCATTTTTTGGATTTCGTGTAGATTTCACAGTTGTCACCCTTCAGGCATTCCAGGATGTCCTGAGTAAACTGATACACTGCTGTCCGAGTTGACCGCCGCTCAATGTAACCGTGTTGAGTGTTAGTGAATAGAAAAAGGTTGATAGTCTTATGCACATAGTCATCTCGAACAGCCTCGGAAAAGTTGGCAATACGCTTATGGTTCTATAGTTTTTTATATTTTCAGGTGTCCCATTTTTGAAGAGAGGTTTAATGACCGCTAGTTTTAGTTGGTCTGGAAAAATGCCATATTTGAATGAGTGGTTTATGATATATGACAAAATTTCACTCACATAATTCAGTGATAATTAAACTCTAGATATCGATATCTCATCAAATCAAATCAAACATTGCTTTATTATCAAAGATACAATCTTATTGACAAAGCTAAACTTAAGTCTATTATCAACGAAAAGCCTTAGAACTAGTTATATGAAAGGACAATAAAAAAAAATACAATGCGCACACTCGAAAAAGCAACTGTTTAAAATATAAATACATACAGAGACGTAAAGTAAGCCTCTAATTCTAGCTACGCATTAGGAAAGCATACCAACCGCACCAAAATGATATAAAAATCAATCAAATCAAAAAGTTGACCAGAAAAAACTTTTCATTTACAAAGCATTTAACTTAAACAATAATAATTAAAAATATCTATAAAAATACAAATTTTAAAATTTACCTACGATAAAAATATATATGCTCACAAGGTGTCACCAAAGAACTCTTCAACATTGTAGTATGCCTTAGTCAAGAGCAACTCCCTTACCTCCTTTCTAAACCTTCTGTACGAACGTAAAGACCTAACGCTCAATGGTAGAAAATTGAAGGCTTTCTTAGATAAATAAACAAAAGATTTCTTCACCAAGGTGCTTCTGGGAATTGGCAATGGAATATTATAAGCTTGCCTACTGGAATAATGCCTCACCGAAGAAAGTTGATCATAGTATTTCCTATAGACCAGGCAAACACCACTTTGTATAAACATGGCACAGTTAAAATCCTATGGGAAATGAAGCTAGGTTTGCAAGATTGTCGGAAGGAAATTCTAAGCATAAACCTAAGGGCTCTTTTTTGCAAAATAAATATGGAGTTGAAATTTGCAGTACTGCAGCAGCCCCAAAATGCAATACCATAAGTAATGTGTGATTCCACCAGAGAAAAATATGCGGTCCTGAGAGCTCGCAACTCTAACCGCTCTGAGAGTACCCTCAAGGCATAACAGCTAGACGTTAACCTTCCAAAGACTGCCGCAATATGCTGCTCAAACTTGAGACTCTCGTCCACTGAGACTCCAAGAAACTTTGCACAGGTGGTGGGATGAGTTAAATCACCACATAAGGAGATGTTGGATAATGAGCACTTGAAGTTTAACATATTGGTCTTAGATATGTTGAAGGATAGATTGTTGCTGTCAGACCAGGTTTTTATTGAATCCAAAACAACATTAATCATGCGTTCCAAGAATTCACCACTGTTCGCATGCCAAACAATGGATGTGTCGTCAGCGACAAGTCGATTACTTCCTCTGACCCTAAGAGAGGCTAGATCATTAATATATATCAGGAATAAAAGGGGGCCAAGGATAGACCCCTGAGGCACACCACAGTTGTTGCTCATTTTATCCGCCTATGAGAAGCTACCTGCTGACGATCACCCAAGTACGACTGAAACCAATTTAGAGACACCTCTAAAACCATATACTTCAAGCTTACGGAGCAATAATAGAATGAGCGACACAGTCGAAAGTCTTCGACGTCACAAAACATCGCTGCTGAAAGGTGATTCTAATTTGTATTTAAATAGATATCTTCCAGAAGGGAAAATATCGCATCAGATGTTCCCTTGCCACACTGAAAGCCAATTTGATTCTCCGAGAGTGACCTGTTTAGATTTAGGAATGAAAGAGCTCTGACCAGTTTCTCGATCAGCTTACCAAATGAAGGAAGAAGAGAATAGGACGAATATTTGTTGAAGAGTATCTACGTCTCCCCCTTTGTGAAGAGGTACAACCACTGCATGCTTAAGGATATAAGGAAATATACCTTTGTCAAAGGAATCATTTATTGCATCTCCCAGCGCATGGGGGTTCCCCATCGTTAAGATGAAGTAATAGTTTGATCTTCACGACTACTGTAAAGTCCGTCGATTTTAATCTGATACTCCAAAGAAATGTGATCTGGTTGCTTCCTACATTAGAACTCCAATGGTCACCTGGCGTCACACCTGTTTTTGCCATAAGCTTCACCCCCTCGCTCCTCATACGGAAAGTGTCAGATTAAAAACGACGGCGATACTTGTTTTGAATAGATTAAGAAAGATCTTTGACTTCTTGAGGGGAAGTAGGCTTTAAATATAACGATTTGTTCACATTTTTGACATGACTATAATCTATTGGAATATCATTCAAATTCCCTAAAAGGTCATTTACTATTTCATTGAAGTATGTGTTAAAACTTCTTCGGGATTTCCATTGATCTTACAGTTTTGACCCTTTATTTCTTTCCCTGTAATTTCATTGTAAATATTCCAAATTGTTCTATTTTTATTGTCAGCAGGGTCAGCGCAACCATAAGGCGAACTAGGCGGTCGCCTAGGGCGGCAAACTTGAAGGGGCGGCAATGAAGCAACAAAAAAAAAACCTTCTGAATTTTGCTTTTCTTCATAATATTCAGGATTCCATTTCCCTCGCAAACCCAAACACAAATTTTGCCCTCTTCTTACGGGCACATCTGCTATACCTAGGGTTGCCACCTGTCCGGTTTTCACCCGGACTGTCCGGGTTTTCAAAGGTTTGTCCGGTGTCCGGACGCATGATGAAAATGTCCGGGAATATCTGGATAACTATATAATTAATAATAATTAATACTTAATATAAAATTTATAAAGGCGATTGCCGAACGCCTTAGGATATACTTAACTAATTTCTGAACGTTCCTACTTCTTGAATAACGGGTGTATCACAAACGTCTCCGGTTTCCAGTTAGCGACAGAAAAATGGACTTTTTCTGCCTAGGCAGAAATGTTCGTTGCTTCCCATTCAACAAACGTTATCAGCGCAATTGATAAACATAAAAAAGTAGATTATGCGTGAAAGTGTAACAAATTCGGAGAAAAAATGAAATGTACTACCTATATGTTTCACACGGCAAAAGATCAGATTTAATGCCTTGGTTGGTTTCCTCGCTTCGCTTTCGGCTATGAAAAACTAGTCGCGGCATTAAATATCGTGCTTTTCTGCCTAATAAAATAAATAATTATGTATGTATTGTGTCATTCTCCCTGTTCACTTACAAGTGTCTCTGGTTTTTTTTTTTATTTTAAAATAGACCGTAACTACGAGGGGTGGTGTTTGAAATTGAGAAGATACCTTTTTTAATTTTTTTCTAAAAATTCATTCTACAGATATGAGTGTAAATTATGCTACAAAAAAAAGTTAGCTTCGATTATGTATGGGTTTTCGGAAATCAAAAGGTGGCAACCCTAGCTATACCTGTTTCTGCTAGTAGCTATAGGGGTCGTGCTACCGGGTGGCGGACGGCCAAAAACTACTTATTTTATATTATGAATATTTTTGGCACAAAATTAACGTTTTGGACGTGGCACCAGCAGGGCTTTTTCGCCTCCGCCGGCGCCTGCGTGTGTGTATGTATATATATTTTTTTGTCCAAACGTCTGGTAGGCAAATCCAGCGGGTTTACACCTGTCGAGGTGGTAGAAATTTAATTTTTATCCAAACGTCAAAAAAACGTCACTTTGTTAACCCCTGTCAAGATGTCAGAAATTTGATTTCTATGCTGCCAGGCAAATCCAGCGGGTTAACA